TCCACCTCCTCCAACCACACCCTACCTGCCTTCAATTACCACTCAATGAATTCCATCAGGTGATTAATTCATCGATTGGGTTGAAGTTCTCATAATCCAATCGTTTCTTTTTTAATCCAATCATTTCTCCTCTAATCCTTCTTGCATTGTCTCATATGTAAGCTTTTGGGGGACACCTCTCATCTAAACCACAATAGGTGGTTAGCTACGCCCCCTGCTACGTAGCCACAGCTACGCCCCTTGTCTCCTTGAAAATCTGTGTCTCCGGCTCTCATTGTATTCCTTTGCCCATCCCTTCTCTGCCTCCTTCTTAAATGCTAGGGACTCATGGGCCTATTTTTCTTCCTCTTTCTCACCCTTTCTCAAGATAATCTCATGCATACCCGTTCCTAGCTGCTTTCTCTCTCACATGTCCCCTGGAACTTCTGATGGTGGCTCTGACTGCTACCCTATTAGGTCTACCTCTCACAGATTTTCTCAGTATCTTCCTAAATTCCTCTGGATCTGTTTTCCCCAGTGTTCTCTTCCTTGGGGGCCATCGAGATTTCTCAGCAAACAGCAGCTTCTAATTGGATGATTTTCCAGCAGGGCTGTTGTTTTCTCTACTGTGACAAATCTGTCACCCTTGGTTACCATACTCGGTTTAGCCTGCTGTAAGTCAGAATCAAGACTTGCTGGAGGGTTAGGAGTGGGAGATGGTGAGAAACAATGACACCAAGCCAGTGTCCCCTGTGCAATCATACTTGCTGGCCTGATACGGGGCCCCACTCAAGGTCACTCAATCAACCTGTCCTACTATGTGCTTGCATAGCAGCACTTGGCAAGGGGAAGAGAAAGCAGATAAAAAGCTATGGGGAACCAGGCCATGCATCAAGAAACTTAAACTGGATCAGGAAAAACAAAAAGACAGGAAGGGGAGGCATCCTGGGGAGGATGCAGAGGAGGGCCTAGACCGGAGGTTCTAAAACTGCTGAGAGACAGCCGTGTGGGAGGAGAGGAGCTGAGGAGGGATTTGGAGGCAAAGGGTTCCCAGTATAGCAAGATTCCAGAGTGATGTGGGGCATGAGCAGCTGATCTGACCCCCCAGAGATGGCTTCCAGAGAAGAGGAGACTAAGGAAACCTGTATCAGGTGAGCCATCAGGGTGAAAACCAACACCATGGAGAACAGGTGAAAGGCAGACTCGGAGACAGGGGCATGCCTCCAACATCAAACAGCAGGTTACAGTGGCCAGAAGGGACAAGGACCTCAGAGGATCAGAGCTCTGACAAGAGGTCTCAGGTGGCCAGGAAGTAGCATGTGGGCAAGACATTTCCACCACCTCCGCAGGGACACAAGGACATTCCCTTGTGGGCTTAGGCTTCATCCTGAAGGGGAGCTCCAGGGACTTGGCACATGAGAAGCACTTAAAAAGGGTTTCCTAAATGGAGTAAAGAGGTTTAAATTGGACAGCAATGAAAGAAACCCCAAGTTGAGAAAGATCCCCTTGAAGAAGACTGCTGTTTGACATTGGAAGAGAATTTGAGGCTGACTGGAGTGGCCTTGGGAAAAGCAGTTGGGAAGCAGAGATGACAATACAAAGAAAGATACCCAGAGGGCTGCTGTGGGAGCTCAGAGTAGAGAACTGAGGAGGAAAGGGATGGGGCGATTATAAAGAAGCAATCAATGGGATTTGTCATTGAATGTGGGGGGTAACAGCAATTGAGCGAATCGGGTACCATGCCCTTCCTGGATTGGGTAGTTAGGATGGTACAAGCCAGGACTGCATAAGGGCTTTGGAAGGAACTGAAACCAGCAAGTTCTATGTGTGCATGCCCAACACCCAGCCAGGCCATGCCCACACCACACACACTCTAGATGGTCCAGGACCACCCAGCTGGATACAAGCTCCAACCCATGTCAGGCTATGCATGACCCAGTTTGGTTCCTCTCTGATGACACAGGGCTTTCCTCTTGGACCAAACGACTTCACCAACTTTGAGACACTCATTGGAACTTCATGGCTTACCTATTAAATCATAGAAACCAGATTAGGGGAATTCAAATTGACCAAATAAGAACAAAGAACCAAAGATTGTCCTTGGGCTGGGGAGACAAAGGTGAATATATCACCATGGACCCTCAACTCTGGAAAGCAATAAAAATGTCTAAGATCCTTGAGCCCGTCCCAGGAAACAAGAGGCTAATAGCAAAATGCCAGATGGAATTTTATGTGAAGGGCAGTAGTTGCAGAACCAGGTGTAGGGAGACAGGATCCCAGTGCTTCTGGGCAAGCCAATCACCTAGAGTTTCAGTTCCCCTCTATACACAGGTGTCAGTGCTAATTTTTTCAGTGTTGGTGGGGATTATGAAACAATGTATTCACAGCATCTACAGCAGAGCCTGGCACACAGTGGTGGCAATTAGGAGAACTATTGGCCCATTATATACAGCAGCACTGCCCCCAATAAACACACACACTCACTCAGATGTATGCACACACAGGCACACACAAACTCTTTCATACATACACATACACATTTACCTGAATGTACATCTCATGTGAACACATTTATTAACATATGCTCACTTGCACATGCATACACACCTACATACATAAACTCACTGGTGTACACACACACATATACTTATATGCACACACTTACACATACCGACATGCACACATACACCAGCAGAATTGATGTCTTTTGTCCCAGGACCTGTTCTTACTTTATAATCCTTATTCTTGGTAGATGGCTTAGTGGGTAGGAGGAGGGCTAATGGAAGGACAAGAGTGCTACTGGTATAGCTGGCTTGTATCACTTTGAAGTCTTCCCTAAGACCCTTTTCCTGGATTTCCTGGTGAAACATGAGCAGTGGTTGTCATTTTACAGTGCTGGTCAAATTTTCCAAGTTGTCATATATGCCAGCATATGGCAGGGCAGCACCTCTTGGCCCCTGGAAGTTAGAATGCAGCCATGTGACTAACTATGGACCATGAGCATGGTCCAAAATAAGGAGCATGCCAGGTGAGTCTCTCCAGGGAGGTGCTCTGTCATGACACTGGCAGGCCATGTTTGATGACATTAGGCCTCTTTATCAGCTGCGCAATAGCGACTGTGGAGAGCAGTGAACCTGCCTATCACCATGGACTTGAAAGGCAAGTGTAATGTAAACTGCTCATATTTTAACCCACTCTGTGAAGTCACTATAACTACTGCCCTATCTAGTCTGTCTTATGGAAGCAGTTCTGTCTACAGACACAGTGAACTCCCAGAATGTTCTGGAGCCACATCGCTCTGGAGTGTCCCTCCAGCTGACAGTTTTCTTTGGGAGGACTTTTCCATTTGATGGATGTTATGGCTTTCCTTATTGGCTCCTTTGAGAGCCTTCTTTGTGGCAAGTCTCCTGCAGGGCAAAAAAGAGAAGAGATGTGGCCCTGCCTTCAGTAAGTACACCATATTCTGCAAGAGACAAGAGACAATCAGGAGCAGATTCATGCGAATCAATAGGGACAGGGAAGGGACCCAGGTGAAGACACCTAACAAATGGATGGTCTAGGCAGCTTCCTGGAGAAGGTGATGAGGGAGAGTCCTAAAACTCAAGGAATCAGACACACAAGGGTGGGGAAAGGGAGTTCAAAACAAATTATAAGAGCACAAATGTGTTATGTGTGGCCATGCACATAAGTGGGTGTGCGCACAAGTTTGGGGGAGGGAGGATGGAATGTGTGTCGGACATTTGTACATATGTATGGGTGTATGTGCACAAGTGTGAGCAGGTGCATGTGTGGATGCTCTCAGGTGATTAGGGCTGTGACTCCAGAGCTAAGATTAAAGACCTTATCATGGAGATTACTTCAAGGGGTTAAGTTGACAGCAGAAGGCATAGGAGTTGGGAAGGTTTTAGGTAGGAGTGTCCCCATAGCTTTCTATTTTCCAGGTCAGCAGTGAAGTGGACTGACCTGCAGCAGGTGGAGAGGCAAGGATCTTGTGATACTCAGAATGAGGAGCCCCATGAGCCAGAGGCAGACCTAGGATTGGAGGGGATCATGGAGAGAGCAGCAGAAGCCAGTATGCAGGTGGGCTGAGACGCCCCAATGGAGCACCGCCTAACATGAAGCCCAAAGAAAGGCAAGATTGTGGAAGACTGAGCTGGGCCCAAGTCCCATGAGGATTCAACAGCACCCGCGGTTGAGCACATGGAGAACCCCACTTCAGGCACAAGACCAAGGCTCCATCCCAGCCCTTCTTGGACTTTCCCAAAGACAAGAACAGAGTGGTGCGCAGCTTTGGATTCCCAAGTCTGTTCACCCTGTCATTTCACTTGACTTGGGACAAAGCGATCCTGATAGAAAAACTCTGACCCATTTCACAGTGAGAGAAGCTGACAAGAGGCCAAGAACCCGGCAGCCACTTGAGGATCCCCCAGCCCAACCCCTCCCCCGCAGGCTGTCCCAGCCGCCACAGTCACTCGCCTGCTCTTCCGCGGGGTCCCTCCCGCTTTAGAGATTCCCAGGAGGGAGGGGCCCGCGGGGAAGCTTAGGACGGCGTTGCCTGTCCGGGTCACCGCTCCTGGGGACTCGCATCAAGCCCGGACCTGACCTGTGGGAGATCTCCTCCAGCCCTCCACCTGAATCCTGGAGGCGTGGTTGGGAAGGTTCGGGTGCAGGCTGCTTTTCCCCTGCGCATCCTTGGGCAAACTGCTCCACTTTGGGGTTCTCAGGCGCCTCTACAGTTAAATAGGGATAGCATTGCTGGTCCGCCTGGGGCCACGGCAGGGTGGGAGATGAGGGGCTGGGAATGCGGAGGGCACCGAGCCCTCCATCCTCATCCCCGCAGGGTCCGCAGGGAGGCCAGGGGTAGGCCGCTGAATCTTCCCCTTCCTGCCCCGTCCCCGGAAAGAAGTTCATCCCGACTGCAACAGCCACCATTGGTATTTAGGCTCTGGGACATGCCCGGCCAGCCACCCCTTCTCCCCTGGTGGCCCTGAGGTCATCGTGCAATGCGCATAAGTCCCCACCTCCTTTCTTCCTCTTCCATTCAGCCCCTTACTCGCCCGGTGACCCTGGGCAAGCCACATCGGTTCTCCCGACCTCTGTTTCCCCATCGGTGCAGCGAGGAGCGAAAGGAACTGGATGGCTAAATGCTCCGACCGGAATATAATTGGGTTCTTTATCTGTAGCATCGCAGAGCCTGGGCGCGCCTGCGGAGATGCGCGTGCCGCGAGCGCCCTCTAGTGCTCAATCCTCGCCGCTGCACAGTCCTGGCTGAGCAAGGGCGCCCCCGGAGAGGACGGAAGAAAGGAGGTGTTAGGAAAAATGAGGAGTTCTGTGAAATGTGACTTTCGTGAACTGATGAATCAACGAATCAAGAGGGAAAGGAATGGATAAGTAAACTTCAGAGTGAAGGAATAATAGGTGAATGATAATGAGTGCTCGAAAGTACGAATTAATGTCCATCCAAATGAATGGAAGCAGTCTCCCAGGAAGGACCCCACCTGTGATCCCAGCTCCTGGGAAGGCCAGGGCAGGAGGATGGAAAGTTCTAGGCCGGTCTGGACAACTTGGTGAGACCCTATGTCGAAAAATAAATGTCTGCAGGTATAGCTCAGCCCCCTAGGTCCAATCCCCAGTACCACAATAAATATATAAATAGAAAAGCAAGCAATTGGAGGGAGTAGAACCAAATCGATAAATGGTCTTGTGAATGACTATTTTCAAACGTGTCATTTGGAATATGAAATCAGACTACAGACAAAGCCTTGGGCACGAATGGCATGAAATCCTGCCTACCCCCTCCTATCTGCTCACCCTTGGTGGGACACTTATGTGCTATAAGCACTTCAAGTTCTACTTTCACTTCTTAGTACCTCTGCACTGCCTGAAACCTCTTCCCCTAGCTCTCTTGGGACCCCCCCCTTCTCATCTTTGGGTTGAAGTGCTGTGCCTGCCCAGCCCTATGTGTAGCTGTTTCATTGCTTCCAGGGTTACTTCCTGTATTTCTCTTTCCCTCCAGACCTGACACACAGTGACTGCCTGGACACATCTGACAGGCACTTCCCAGGGTCTGCTGAGTGCCTGGTACATAGTAGGTGCTCAAAGTGCATCTGAAGTGCAATTTGCCCATTCATCTGCTGGAGCTGACAACCAGAGCCCCCTGTCCCAGGAGGGAGGAGGGAGTTAGGGCATAGAATCGAAGCAGCAACATCCAGTCTGGGGCTTATCAGGACTGACAGCTTTACACAACCTGATTCTGGGATTCTGGCTGGGGGATTCTAGGGGAGGCGGCAGGTTATTAAATGCCAGCCCATTCTTCCTGCTGGCCTCACCTGGGACACAGTGGATCAAGGAGCTGTGTTAATTAGCTTTGATGGTAATCACAGTTGCAGTGCTGGGATGGCTGGGTTCAGCCTCCAGCGATAACAGCATGACCTCCCTCCACCCTGAGTCCCTGCAATCTACTTTCCCACTTCTTTGTTCCAGAGAGCTGGGCAGATTTCAACAGGGCCCAATTAAAGGGGCTCTGACAGTGTCTGATTCCAGAAGGGTTCCTTCCCTGTGACCCAACAGTATCTCTGCCGATCAAAAGCAGGAGCAATAAGGCCCTGAGAGCTCATTTTCTCTTCCTTGTCTGTGCAGTCAGCTCTGTTTCATCTCTGCGGTCCAGCACACACCACCAGGCACCTCAATTTTCCAGTTATTGCCCTTTACAATCTGCATATGGGAGGGAAAAACATGCTGAGGCTTCTAGCTTCAGCGCTACATTTAATCAGGAGCACTTATGCCTTGGGTGGGCACCTCAGGCCATCCCTGGGAGCACCATCCTGGGAAAAGTAGGAGGGCTAACTGGGAGGCTAGAGACCTGGGTCCCCTTCTCCAATCTCAGAGAAGCCCTAAGAGTCCATTTCTACCAGCTGAATGGGGAGCCAGATGGAGGACATAGCCATGAAGGGGCAGCTTCTGCAAACCTGCAGGCTTCCCCTCCATTCTGGAGCACCTCGTGTGTCCCAGGCCTTACTAAGCCAAGTGTCCAGAAAGCACACTGATCTTTTTTAAGGATGGAGTCTCTGCATCTGGGATGGGACTGGAGCCCAAGGATGGCTGACCCCAGAGCCCAGCCTTTCCAATACAGCCTTTCCATTTCCTCCTGCTATCATGCTGCCTACAGAATATCCCCAGGAATGTCCCTGGGTCTCTCCTGGAATGTCCCTATGATTCCATAGAGCGGGCAGCTCTTTCTAATAGTTTTTGGATGGATAAGACTCCCTCTTAGCCAATGCTTTTTTATGTAGAGCTGAGACCTGTCTGCTGTGACATCACCTCAGGGCCTGTTTCACCCTGGAGAACATAAGGTCTTCCCATTCCCGTCAGGCACAGCATCGGGTGAGTAGTGGGCAACCACCACCACCCCAACTCCTGTCCCCTGGTCCTCTGTTAGGGTCCGTAAACAAGTCAAGATGGTGCCTGGCATTTTGCCAGAGGGAGTGGTTTGTGAAGTGACGCCAGCGAGCCATTAAGATGATAGAGATTCCTTAATGACTGACTGCTGTGTCTAGATTATGTCAATTAAGTTAAGCTGTGTGTAATCATTAAGATGAGGATTCCTTATTGGTTGACTGCTGTATCTAGTTTATGTTAATTAAGATAAGCTGTGTGTAATTAGTTATGTATATATACCCCTCCTGTCCTACAATAAACGGCTACCACTGTATCAACCTTCACAAGTTGCTCGTCACCCTCCGGTTAGTTTGCTGCAGCCAGACTGCGGCAGTCCTCCCCAGCTGGGCACTCCCAGGCCCTTTCTTGGCTCCTCAATAACATTTCATCCTCTTCTGCACCCACTTTCTCCCATGAGATTGTGTTTTCCAAGCAGGCAGGAAGCTTGGCTGGGCTAAAACTGGAGAGAGTGATTTTCCCTCTAAGTGGGGAGATGATTCCCCAAATCTCTGTGCAGCTCTTTTAGCTGCCCCCCACCCATCTGTACTCCCTGCATGGTTCAGATGTCTGCAAAGATTTGGCAATTTTCCTGCCAATTTGGGAGGTCCCCTCCCAGGCTTCCACTTTGTTCCCTGGCTCTTCAAGCCCACTAAACTTTGGGTTTCATGTCCCAGTTTTTATGACCCAGTGGAAACACTTTGCTTGCAGAGCTCCCACTGGGGGAGGGGTGAACCTCCCTTCTTCCAATGCACCATTCTCTCTTCCACCTGTTTTGGGTCCCACCCTCCTAGGCCTTCCCCTGGTGGCTTTAGGAAGTATCCGGAGTGTGCAGTTGTTATCTGTGGCAGGGTTTGTTTAATAGGAGCTGCTCAGGCCTTACTGTGGGGAAGCCTTGAGCCCCCATTTATTGTCAGTTCTCTTATAATCTGGCCTTGCCTCTGAACACCCCAGCTGATCAGCAGTTACCTCAACTCCTCAAGCGATTGGCTCCAGGAACAATGACAGGTGGCACACCTCCTTTTCTTCACCACCACCACCACCACCGCCGCCGCCTGACAGGACCTAGAGATGGGAGGAGCCCTGGGACTCATTACAGGTGGCACTCTGGGACGAGCGGGACCCCCTCAAGAAGGCAGTTGTTGTCCTAGAAGCCTTTCTCAGTTGTCCTTGGCACCCCTCCCTTCCTGAATCCACTGCCTCCAGGTTTCACGCCGACTGCCATCCTTCCTTGTACACCTGGATCTCGGCAGGTGGATGGCAGGTGGAAGGCAGGTGCCCCTTTCTGCTCTCATAATAGCCAGTGGTGCCCTAACACCTGGATGTTGAAATAGCCTTATTGCTACCGACTCTAATCAAGCTAAATCGCATCTTTAACGTGGCTTTATCCCCGGGCCCTGGAACCCTGCCAGGCACATTCTTATGCTCTCCACAAATACTCCTGGAGTGAGTGAATGAGCAAATGGATGAATGATTGAATGAACCCTGTAAGGTGAGTCCCGCAGAGGAAGGGGAGCGCTCTCCTGTGGCTGGAGGGCACATACCTCTGACTCCCCACCACACACAACCTCTGCCAAAGGGAGCTGACTTTAACCTAGACAGGAGCGGCAGCGGCAGCGGCAGCGGCTTCTGCACAAGTGACAGGTTTTAATTTGTAATTGTTTTCATTCTCATTTCCTGCTTCTGCTCTGCTGATAGGCTGCCTGCACTTACATCAGCTCAGACCTTTCTGCCCAAGGAGAGATTTAGAAGCCTGGGGGTGACCCAGATGCATGATTTTCTTAGTAACAGTAGCTGTTGTGCACTGATGTGCAGAACCTCACAATGTCTCTGGACATTGTTGTGACCATTTTTAAGATAGGAAAACTGAGGATTGGGAAGTGGAACACCTTGACAGAAGCCGTTCAGTGAATGCATACTAGAGACAGGATTCATACTGGGGCTGACCAACTATGACTAGAGCATCCTTGAGTACCTGAGGTTGAGCTATTTCTTGCAGGAAGCAATTTGAAGTTTGCTGAGGCCTGGATCCCCAGCCATGCCCCCCCCACCAATTGCTAAGAGAGCCCACAATTCCAGGACAGTGCCTTCGTGGTGAGTCCTGATAGGCATTAACCCAAATGGATAAACTTATGCTGTGCATAACTTATGCTACTCCACGCCACACAGTGGACACAGAGATAAGCAGCTGCTCTGGGCTCAGACCCCAGGGCACAGGATAGTTACCAGGTAGCATAGCTATGCACCTCCCCCACTGTATTCAGCAGGGATGGGATAGAGAGCTATTGGAGGGGAGTGGAGGGAGGCAAGGCTTTCCACAAAGAGAACTGGGGAAAGCTGATTGTAAAGAATCAATCGTGTCTGGCCCTTCTTTGCTCCATAAGGGTCAGGGTACTCCAAGGAGAAGGAGCATGTGGAGTTCCCAAAAGCACACAGAGTTGAGGAGGAGACATTCAGAGCTGGCAGTGTGAGAAGAGCATGGGGACAAAAAGACTAGTTAGGAGCTTAGGGCAGATGGTGGCTGACACAAGTTGTAAACTGATGACTCAGGGTAAGCATGGCTGGAAGAGCCACAGCTTCTGGGAACAAGACACAGGGCTCCATCCCCTGAGGTGAATAACTGTTCCTGATGGGAGCCAGGAATTCTTTGCAAGTGTCCTTTCTATTTGTTACCTTCTCTTCCAGTCCCATCTGTCAAGTATAATTGCAAAGTGCTAAGGTTCAGAAATGGCAAC